AAAAAAAAAAAAAAAAAAGACTTGGTCTCCGGACTCCATACAGTATCAGTAGAAGATTTGTGGGTGCAACAGTACAGAAAATCTATACTGGTTAAGTCTCAATTTAGAAATAGTCAAATTGGGTGAAGGGAGATGTTGGACAGTGTAAGATATGACAAAATAATAATTTATCAATGATCAAGGGTTCATGAGGGAGGGAGAGGGGTGGAGGGGAAAAAAAATGAGGAGCTGATACCAAGGGCTCAAGTAGAAAGAAAATGCTTTGAAAACAATGATGGCAACATATGTACAAATGTGCTTGACACAATAGATGGATGTATGGATTGTGTAAGAGTTGTACAAGCCCCCAATAAAATGATTTGGGGGAAAAAAGAGGCTAACAGTTCTTTGTACTCACCCCCTGATGAAATTAAATCCATGTGCACAGACCAAAAGGTTTCCATAGGCATCAACTTTCAAGAGATTTCCATATAAAGTATCAAAGACAAGTCCCCTATATGAAAATAAAGAAACTATTGATAAAGCAAATTAACAGGGGCAATGTTTTTTATTTTAATATGAAAAAGCTTACAGAGCAAATCATCAGTATATTGAACAATTCATACACATTTTGTGTCAACTCATCCATTGCAATCCTATCAATGTACCATCACGTATTCCACTTTCTCCAACATTTCCTGTTTCCTTTCCTAACCCTCTGAATTTTGCCCTTGGGTAAATGCTGCCCTTTTGCTCTTAAATGGTTTATTATCCTACCACAGGAGTGAGTTTCCTTCCAGACCAGAAGGGTAATATAATTTCATTAGTACTCACTCTACTCCATCACCATGAACCAAGCTCATCTAGCTCAAACTATGTAGCAACTCGAGTATGTATCAAAACAGTATAGCTTTAGCAGCTAAAGTATGAATATAATCTTAAGATATAATACCAGAGCCAATGAAAAAGGTTAACTCTAGCCAGATAAATCACTACAACTGTTGTCTGTCAAGAATGAGATAACTTAATAAAACAAGCTGTAAAGAATAACCTCTCCTAACATAGTTGGTTACATTTAAAAACATTAACAATGTCCTTGGACAATTTTGTAGACTTACAAGTCCCTCTATTAGATGATATATGGGACACCTGATGGCATCTAAAATATACACCGTCTGAATTTTAATCTTTCCATCCAATCAAATTCATAAATTCAAGCAGCCAAGAAGGCTAAGTGTGTTAGCAAGTCAAGTGTATTAACAAAAGCAAGTACTGCACTCCAACAGCCACAGGTAGGAGCAACTGTGATTACTGCCTATCATCTTCAATGATCCCTTTTCTTTCCACCTTAGTGGGTCTTCTTCCAGGAGCCCTGAGCTGATAATTGAAAGGTCAGCAGTTTGAAAACACCAGTCATTCTGTGGGAGAAACATGAGGCTGTCTCCCCCGCCTGTGAAGATTTAGTCTCAGAAACCTAAAGAGGCAGTTCTTTGTCCTGCACAGTCAATATGAGTCAGAATCAACTCCATGGCAATGGGGTATGTGTGTGTGTGTGGGGGGGGGGGGGGGGGGTTAGTTTGGGTCTTCTTTAAGAGCAAAGCCCCAACAAAACTCCATTGCTCCTTTGTTGTTGAGTCCAGTCATAACAACCCTATGGGACAGAGCAGAGCCACATGCCCCACAGGATTTCCAAGGCTGTAGATTTTTACAATAGCAAATTACTACATCATTCTCCCGTGGAGAAGCTGAGGGTTCTAATTGCCAACCTTGGAGGTTGCGGTTGAGTGCTTCAACCACTGCATGACCAGGGGCCTTCAGTAGCAATAACCTAAGCTAAATTCAAGACCACAAAAGATATGGAGTACATAAAAGGTTCGTGGTAATTTTAAAAATCGGTATCAACCAAAACCAAACAGACTTCGGGGTGTTTTGTTTTGTTTTTTGTTTTTTAGTGGAGGAAGGTTAAAGGCCAGGAATTATTCATTTTGGGGGTAGTGGGAGACACATTAATCCCAAAAGATTTTAGAAGCTTACCTGGTAGGAAATGTAGAATCATAAGCAAAGCTGAGCAGCTCCTGAGGGTAGCCAATAGACACTAATCTCTCCACAGTCAGCTCAAATCCCAGGGACTCGTACTCTGGGGACTTGTACACTGCACAAAGAGGAGGTTCACATCAGTCAGCATGAAAGAAAAGCAATTAAAACAGAGGCAAATGAGGTTTCTACTCTCCCTAGCCCTCTGCTCCTAAATTTGCCATTTTTCTTCTTCCCTCTCAAATGCTCCATGTTCTCAAAAGGCGAGTCATCTGAGAATTCAATTGTTAAACTATGTAGATAGGTCATAGGTCAAGAACAGCAACAAGATCAAACACTTCAGAATGGCTGCTTCATTCTTAGGAAATCTATCCTCCTCCTCCTCCTCAAATTTTCCCCTTTAAATACTTTCCATTTGCACAATCTAAAGGAAGGAAAAAATGAATATAAATAATCGTGATATTAAATATCAGAATATAAGTAAACAAAAAACTAGTAGAGAGAGTAAAGATTCCCCTGTCATCGAGTGGGTTCCAACTATTAGCTACCCTGGGGTTTCTGGGCGATACATTTTTACAAGAGCAGACAGCCTCATCTTTCTCCCGTAGAGCCACTCGGGGGCCTGAACCACTGGGTATCAGTCCAACACTTACCCACTAGGGCTCCATTGAGAGGGGAACAGAGGTAGGTCTATACTGATTGAATGACCCATTGTGTGTGTCATTAGTACAGGAATCCTTCAAAAGTAGATTTTTAAAGAAATACTCTATTTTGGGGTTTTCTCTTTGGCTTTGCTAGTGGTTTTATACTCATTCTTCAATCAGTACGTTTAATTCTACTTGTCAGAATTAATCTGTTTCTATCAGCCCTGATGATGCTCTAAGCCATCAAATTTGCATTGTAAAGTTACTGCTGTAAACAATCATAAAAAGACATTTCTGAGGCAATTAGGGAAACTTGGGTGTGAACTGGGCATTAGACATCAAAGAATGCAGACTCATTTATTAGACTATGGTGATAGGTGTGTGCAAGTATATGTGTTAAATATTCATCTCTCCTCTGTCAATTTAATATCCTGAACATCCTGAAGGAGTTAGAGGTAGCAGCAGCAAGGGTTCACATTACTATTCTTACTAGTATGATCTGCCTGGAATGTTCCATAATGAAAAGTCACAGCAGTTCAACACTAAAAAAAAAAAAAAAAGTTGCTCCTCTCGATAGGTTTCCTTTAATTCTTTTGTTATTCTAGGATAATAATTTAATGCTAATAATAATCCCAGCTAACATTTTCAAATCTGGCTATATTTTTTCCTTCCTTCAGCTTCTGTCTCATCCCCATTGCCACTACACACAATGTGGAATTCCTAAATTTAAACTATGTAGATAGTGATAAAAGTGCTATATCCTTATACCCCCTGACTGGAGTAAGAACTGGTATTGTCTCATGAAAGCACAGTATCTACTTATGTTAAGTTTGAGTCATTTAACAATAAAGCAAACATCTCTCCACCCCTTCCTACCACTCCGTTCCCACCCCAATTGCAAGTAAATCTCATTTTAGTAAGATTTCCATGAAACAAAAATGATTTCTCAGTCCTACCCATATTCATCACGTATTTTACACAACTTTTAATGAAACAAAATTACAGTATAGTGGTGTAATTTGGATAATCCACTGACATTCTTTCATTCATACAGGATTTGGCTACAAGTTCATTAATTTTTCCAGAAATGTAAGAATAGGTGATAAAAATACACCTTCACCATTCTTACCTAGTCTCATCCTCTCATCCTCTATATATCAGCAGTTTTCTCTAGTTAAACAGGTAATTATAGTGATGAAATAATTGGTGAAACCTATGCCTATAAAGCAATTTGTATTGGACACCAAAGTAATTTATTCAGAAATTTTAGTGGAAAAGAAAATAGTATGGGGGTGGGGGTGGGTGGGAGGTATCTTAGATTCGCATTGTCAGCAAAATCCTACAACAGTGCAAATAAAATACTACACATGTTCCACAATGTGTGTTTATTCACTAGAGTAGAACCTCCTAAATGTTCAACTGATGGGACTTTCTGAAATTCCACGCTTAGAAATAAATACCTTCAGTTTCCCTTCCCTCAATGCTTTCAGCATCTTCTCTAAAGTATCATGGACTTTATCTCTCTGCTGACCTGAATTTAGAAAGCAAGTACAAACATCATCTGAAGCCAGAATTTAAGTCTCCCTGAGTCTGATCCATAGCTCTCTGTCAAAAAAATAAATGTCTAGGTTACATAAGCCATCAAAACTTAAGCTGGATGTTGAAACACACTGCTTTCTATCTTTTAACTAGTCCAACTTTTTTTTTTTTAATGCAACCAAGAAAAGCTGTGCCAGTCACAGGTGGGAATGACTTTGGCAGCGTCCAAGTTCCACTCTGACAGCACCATCTGTTACACCAGGCTCTGTGTTAATCAGTGAGACCTACAAACTACTGACATTTTCTCATAAGCTTCTTGGATAATCATTTCAGTAACACGAACTCCAGAGCTCATTAAATCATCTGCCAGAGAACTACACAGCCTACCTGTCTGGCGATGGGTAATCACCTCTGTGCAGAACTTCATGTAGGCATTTTAGTCTAAGTATCCCTGGGGAATAATCACAATTTGTTCACATATGGTGACAAAAATGACCATTCCTAAAACTAATAAAGTACCATCATCCCCTAAAGAACTTCATTATGAAATACAAAGTAAGCTTTTTAGATCCGCCAGGCAAGCCCTTGAAGCCAGCCTCAGACATCTGCAGGGCACCAAACAGACCATGGGGCTCAGATGCCTATCCACAGCTGCAGAGGCTCTCATTTCAATTTCTCTCTGTAAAACTGTGGCAAGTAAGTCACGAATTGCTTAAAGCTCAATGCCTACAACTGACTTTCTGTGGTTCCCAAACCCAGCCAACAGCTTTCTGAGTAAACACCACCACCACCACACACATTCACAGCTTACTTCTTCTTGGAGTAAGTCTTCAGGCCTATCCCAGTTTGCTCACTATCCAAGACAAAAGAAGTTATTTCAGGGCCAGAGTCCAAAAACAGAGGACTGCTTTAGTCACCAGGGCAGCACACAGTGTTCTCAGGTTACGTAACTGGACTATAAAGAGAACAACCAAAGCTTTGAAAGCCGAAGCTACTGAGGGCATTTAAAGATATTCTTTTCTCCATAATCTGCAAGGGAAAAAAACATCTTTGCAAAAAATAACAACCGAGTGTTGTGGGGATGAAAGTTGTGGGGGTTGTTTTGAGTGGATGCTGCTCATACAGGGATGTTTGGAACTCTTATCTATTTTTTACCTTTGCCACCAAGGCACACTGTGTAGCAGTTTATAGATTTCCAAAAAAGCGCAGGCCAACCTCCACAGAGGTCCCAGCCCAGCAGAGCACTGCTGCCAGAAGAACTCACATGCGGCAGATGCGGCTGCAGAGTGCCACTCCAGTCTTGAAGGAGTTACACTGGCTCTCCTGTTAAAAACAAAAACAAAAACAAAGCAACACAACAAAACCAAACAGAAAAGCTGGTTTTACAGTTGTTGCGATGGACTGGAGCAGAGACACCGTTTGGAAACTGGTATTTGCGGGAGTGACTGTCCTCCTATTTGGTTAGCAGCCTCTGACCAACACTAGAACTGGCCTATTTGGCCGAAACGAAACTGGTGTGCTGAAGATTCGCCTAAGCATTGTGCCTTATTTACTTTTCTGGCACCTGAGTCTTGAATACAAGCTGAATCTGACACTGAAATGTTAAGTCAAAATATAAATGGAAAATCTAATTTGTTTTCTCAGGCATATTTAAGTTTTTATATAATAAAAATAAAGTGCAGCTGGTATGTTAAAATTAAACTATAGTGAAACCAACTAAAGGATACAAGAATAAACTGGGGCAGTCTCATCTTGCTTTTAAGTTAGCACACTTTACAATATACTCTTTCGTCAAGTTAAAGACATATATGTCCTTTGGCTATATTGACAACTATAAAAAACATATAATGTGTTCCTATTATAGGAAGTCATTTTCCCTGAGGACATTCAGGGTTTTGAAAACATGTGGCTGAATTCGTCCACCTCCTGGCCTTTTGGTGAAAAGAAGTCGGTGCTTAATGAAAGAGGAGAATTATCAAATGTTATTGTCTAAAAAGTGCAGAAGGCATTGAAAACCACCACCAATCACTAAAAACAAAACAAAAACAAAAACCCTGGCCCAACCACCCCAGAATACCAAAAAGCAAACCCCTGGCGATTCAGTCTATTTCGACTCATAGTGACTCTAAGTCGGATCTCTGAAGTTTTGCCCTGAAGAATCCCTTAAGGCATAGTGGGTTACGCTTCGGACTGCTAACTGCAACAGTTCGAAACCACTTGCCACTCCAAGAGAGAGAGATGAGGTTTTCTAATCCTGTAAAGAATCACAATCGGGGAAACCCACAAGGGCAGTTCGACTCTGTCCTACAGGCTCACTGAGTCGGAATCAATTTCATGACAGTGAGTTTATAACTTTTGGAGAGGCTTTGCGCATCTTTACGGGAGCAGACAGCTTCACCTTCCTCTCCTGGTGGATCTGAACTTCTGCTTTGTGGTTAGCAGTTCCAATGCTCAACCAACAGCACCACCAAGGTTCCTTTCCAAAGAATAGCCATTTGTTTTTATGTCGCAAATATGATCAATGCCCAAATCCTCTGACATGGTTATTACACTACATGGTGTTGATTCTCAGGGAATTATGAAACTAAATGCAAGGGAAAGTTGAAGGAAAAAAAAAACCACATAAAATTTTTTTCATTAAAATTCTAAATAAACTCTTTTAAATGTTGATATAGTTAGGTTTTTACTTTCCCAAACTACTAAAAGTTCTAATACAATACACAAGCATGAGCAATAATTTAATAATTTAATCTTTAGCTCTACAATTATCTAGTCGCAATCTAAAATAATTGCTGGAAATTTCTAAAATTCACCTCAATTTTAATTTACTGAAAAGAAAAGAGCTGGATCCATGCCATGCTTTCAGTCAGAGTTGATCCGCATTATTCCCAAGATTCCGTATTTGTGGAATCTCCTACTCAATAAGACTTTTCAC